GGCGGCGGCGGCGGCGGCGGCGGCGGCGGCACCGCGAGCCCCGAGCCCATCCCTGCCCGGCCCGCGCTCTCCGCCCCCGCCTCCCGGGCCGGCGGCGGCGGCGGCGGCGACTGCGGGCGAGCTTGCGGGGCCCGGGCCGCCCCCACCCCCAGCCCCGCCGGGCCCCGCCCCCCGCCGAGTGCATGAGGTTGACGCTACTTTGTTGCACCTGGAGGGAAGAACGTATGGGAGAGGAAGGTGCGCGGGGTGCGGGCCGGCGGGGCGCCGACCAAGGGGCCGGGCGGGCGGGGGCACCGCGCTGGGGGAGAAGGGGAAGCGGGGAGCACGGGTGGGGGCCGGGCCTGGCCGCCGCGGAGGCTGGGTCTGCCGCGAGGCCGCGCCCCTGTGTCCTCCGGGATGAGCTCGTCCTTCCGAAGCCCGCAGGCCCCTCCCTGAAAAGCTCCCACCCTGTTTCCCCCTCCTCGGCCCCGGTGGGCTGCCCTCCCGCAGTCGGAGGGCCCCTCCTCCCTTTCATCCCCGCCTTCTCCCATACCCCGACCGACGACCACCCGGGAGGAATCCCAGGCACAGCTCGCCCAGTCCTGGCCTCCATCCGCGTGCTGTGTCCACCCGGGGCTCGCCCTTATCCCGTCTCTAACCGGCCTTGGAAGAAAGAGTCGCTGGGAAAGCCTCAGCCCTGACTCACAGCCCAGCGTTTGGCCGGCTCCGTGACCTTGAGCCAGGTGCTACCTGCTGGGCCTCAGTTTCCTCGTTTGTACAGTTGAGGGCCACATAGTTGGCCCGTGGTGCTGGTGGTTGGGAGCCTGGGGGCAGAATGGACAGAGCAGAGATGCGCCTCTGGGGAACCTTTGGATGTATGCTGGGGCCCCCACCCCCTCTCCCTGCACCAAACCCAGTGCCTGCCATCAGTCTTGGCTGGGAGGATGACTCTCATCCTAGCCGCCTCTTCTGCCCCTTCCCCCTACTGGGGCCCAAGGCTTGGGTTTGCAGGACAGTTAGGGTTATGAAGACCCCAAGATTCTCTCCCTGGGGTCTCCTTTCCTGGGTTTCCTTATCCGAGCAATCTCATAGGTCCACCAGGTTCAACAAAAGTCCTATTATGTCAGCTCCTCCAGCCCTGCCCTCCCCTGGGGCTACTGCCAACCCTCCCCCAGGTCCTTGAAGGCCCACTTGGAGCAGGGGCCCACCTTATGGTAGCTCCTAGGTCCCTGGGTCCTCATGGAGGGGCAGACTGTGGCCTTGGAGCTTGGCTGGTGACCCAGCAAGCCTTACCTTCTCCAGGGCTCAGTCTCCCCAACTGTACAATGGGAAGGGGCAGGCTGGGAGATCTTCCAGGGCCCACCCAGCTCCAAGGGTGTCAGGCCCCAGGGATGACTAAGCATGCCTAGTGGCTGTCTTGAAGAGGTGTCGGGCCTCCCTGGAGCAGGTGTCTGGGAGCCCAGTCCTACGGCCCTGGCCCCATGTTAGGTCATGGCATAGCCAAGCCTTCCAGGGGGCTTCAGTACAGGACGCACCAACCTAGCCCTGTCCAGTCCCTGCCCTTTGAAGGGACTGGGCAGGCAGGAGAGGAAGGGGGGCTGTGACAAGAGTGTCACCCACTGCCTTATTTCTAAATCGTGCTGCTTTCTTTCTCCGCATTTACCGTGCCTGAGTTGAAGGATGCCATTGCTGGGGGTTGGCGGACATCTGCTCCTCCTCTTCAGTTTACAGAGAGAGAAACTGAGGCCCAGAGGAGCTTGGTAGTTCAGCTGTGGTCTCAGCAAGACTCTCAGACCTGCATTCTCTCTCCTGCTCTGTACAGCGACTGCTCAGCCTGGGCGCTGCGTGTGTACAGGAGGATTTGTGGAGGTGCATGTGGAGTTGGCGCAGGCCACTCCAGGCCTGCAGCAAACTGCGCCTCCTGAGAATGGTTCCTAACGCCCTTTCCACCCCTGCAGGAAGCGAGTTGCCCGTGTGTGCAAGCTGCGGCCAGAGGATCTACGATGGCCAGTACCTCCAGGCCCTGAATGCTGACTGGCACGCAGACTGCTTCAGGTAGGGCAGGCTGACCTGAGCTCGGGTGCCCTAAGCAAGGCCTGCCAGAGACGTGGCCATCCCTCCTGGTGCCATCTCTGGTTGTGACTTCCAGCAAGTCCTTGGCTTCAGTTTTCCCCATCTGTGAAATGAAGCATTTGGACTAGAAGATCCCTGGAGGCCTTTCTTTTTTGTCATTCTAGACAGAAAAGGAGAGAAAAGGCGAGACTTGCGTTTATGCTCGTAATACCAAGGCCTGTTGGCTCCTTGGGGGAGGAGTGGAGGGTAGTGCGCCCCTGCCTTCTGGGTGCTGGTGCTCCAGAGAGAGGCCTTGGGAGGAGCTGGGCCTCCTTCATGGGCCCCAGGCTAGTTTGGAAGATGCATATCCAGTAAGACCAGTCCCTTCCCTCCGGACACCAACTCCCAAGTGTAGGAGAGTAGGACCAGAGCTGTGGTGGAGCACATGGGGACCCAGAGGTGGCCCAGCAATCCAGGAGCACCGTCCTGAGAAGCAGGGGCAGGGGGTAGCCTTAGATAGCTCTGTAGGGCCAGAGCTGGGGATGTGAGATTTCCCACATGGAGAAGTGTGGTAGGAAGCAGCTCCAGACAGAGGGCCCAGCAGGTGCAAAGGGTAGAATGGTGACGGGGCCTGGCCCAGTCAGTAAACGGCAGAGTTCAGGCAGGAAAGCACCCAAAAGGAGGGAAGGTAAAGTGGCGAGGCCCAGCTGGGGTCAGGGCATCAACCACCGACCGAAGGAGTTTAATTTGGGCAGTGGGAGGCTCCGACAAGGATTTTTTTTTTCTTTTATAAAAATGTCTTAACATTTTCTACAATTTAGGAAGGACCAGGCACTGTTTTAAGGACTTTTTATAGTTGGATACATGTTGTCTCCGTGGATCGGAACACGGAGAGGTTAATTCTCTTGACCAAAGATACACAGCCAGTGAGCGAAATGAACACACAGTACGCGCACTGGCTGGGGAGCCCAGAGGAGAGGCGGGCTCCGTGTCCTGGGGTTCCCAATCAGGTGTTCAGAAGGAGGCCTTCAGGGAGGAAAGGGCCTCTGAACAGGCAGAGACAGGGAGGTGGGACAGTGCAAACCGTTGAAGGCCCGGGATCAGCTCATCTGGTTGGAACAGAGTGAGTCGAGAGACATGATGATGAAGCAAAGTTAGGATCGATTCAGTGAAGAGCCCTGAATGCCAAGATCAGTAGCTTCTGAGGGCAGTAGGGAGCCAGCAGAGAGGGTCAGAAAGCAGGGGAGGGATGTGGGCAGAAGTGCTATTGAAAAATGCCATCCCAGTGGGCAGATGGTGGTAACATGGCAGGGAAGGGACTGTCAATAGTTCGGGGCTCTGCGCCCATAAGACCTGACATAGGACAGTGACTAAGAGTGGACAGAGTTTCAGACCTAGAAGGGACGATATTTGGCAAGGATTAGTCATATTAGCCACTATTCATTGGTGACTCTTGTAATGTCATTTCATTAAACCTTCACCATAACCGTAGGAGGTGCCATTATTCGCTCGAGTTCCACGTAAGAAATGGAGGCTCGGAGAAGTCAAGTAACTTGCTGGAAGTTGCAACAGCCAGAGCTGGGACTCGAACCTATGTCTGTCTCACTCCAAGTCACTGCAGAACTGAAGAAGTCAGGGGCTGTGGGGTGGAGCTGGCGGCTGGTGAGTGGGAGGGGCAGAATCTACAGCAGAGTCTGGTTTTTCACCCCGGGTGCAGGGGAGGCCAGTGGTCTGTCGGCTCTGGTGGAGCTGGGGGCCATGTTGGTGAGGAGTTGTGCCCTGTCCTTGTTGAGGTGGAGGTGCAGTAGGCTAGCCAGGGAGGCAGTGCTCTCCCGAAAGCTGGCCGAGGTGATCTGAGACCGATCAGAGGTGGGAAGGGCAGAGACAACAGCCTACTCAGTGCTGGGGGATGGGATTTGAGAAGAGGCCAAGAGAAATCCAGGGAAGAACTTTGGCGGCCCCGGTGCATGGGGTGGGGAGGGAGGTAGAGCCTTGGGAGACATGGGGGAGGGCCAGGCGTGCAGCCACAGAAGCCACAGAAGGGCAGCAGTGGGGCAGGATGCATGGAACCTAGCTTTGGAGGGGTCCCTGCCCTGTTAACCAGCAGAGGGCTGAGGCCCTGGGAGGGGGCGGCAGGGAGGGGCACGTTGGGTTTGGCCCTGGGGCGGTGGGGACACAGGGAAGGCTCCCACAGTGAGGGAGGGACCACAGGCAGTAAGAGCCATGGCTTCCACATGGTTCCACGACTTACACAGTGTTTCTGGCCCCGCGGCGTGTGGTCTTCCCAACAGCCCCCAAACCTGGTTGAGGCCAACGGTGTCCTCACTCCCATGACAGTCAGGAAAGCAGCTCAGAGAGGAGTCGCTGCCTGCTGGGCCCCTGAAAGCATCTCAGTGCCGTGAAGCGGGGCTGCCACCAGCCCCTGGGCTCCGAGAGCCTTGCAGCGACAGAGTTGCTGTGGGCCCATTGTCACCGCAGAGCCAGCCCCTTTCTCTGTTCCAGCCTCCTGGGAGGTCGTGGCCAGGCCCGGGGGGTCCAGGCTTCCCTTTGCCTAGCTGCTGCCTCTGGGAGGTCCCTTCCCAGAAGCCTGCAGCTCAGGAGCCCTGGGGCTGCCGTAACTCGGGTAACATCTCCCTGGAGGCTGGTTGGGCTGACCCTGGATGAGGAGGGCTGAGTGCACAGCTGGCACTGGGGGCCGGAGCCTGGGCTGGGACGCCCCCCTCTTTGGGGGACTTGCAGGCAAAGAGGATGGACTGTCCATGGAAGTCAAGCTCTATTCCCTCGGGGGCAGCGCCAGAAGAAGCAGCTGCTCCCTGTGCCCAGAGAGGCTCCAGTGCCTTTGTTACAGCAGAGGCCGGGGGGCACGGAGGGTGCCTTTCTCGGGTGTGCAGGGCTGAGGACACAGTGCCGGCCAAGCTTCCCCGCCTGCACCAGAGCCCAGGCAGTAGGCCCTTCAGCTGCTTCCTGTTGTGAGCTAAGACCAAGTCCTCTTGCACCCACATCACTGCATCCTCCTCCCCTGCCGTATGGCCACGCTGGCCCCTCCCTCTGCAGCCTCCAATCCTGAGTGCCTGGAGTAGAATAGGGAAACAGCCTGTCCGGCCCACCCCTGCACTCCCCATTGGCCTCTGGGGCCCCCCTGCGATAGGTAGCAGCAAAGGATAAAGGATGCTGGCCTCGAACCTGAGAAGATGCTGCTTCCTCCGAGGGGCTAAGTAAGTGGAAAGCCCCCTCCCCACCTGTCCCAGGCCTCGGGCAGGGCCCCTGGTGTGAGGGCTGGGGCTGGAGGCCATGGTGGGACAGACCCACCTGAGGCCGGGCAGTGGGGCAGGAGAACTGAAACTCCTTGGTCCCTGTTGGCTGCCTGTCGAGGGGAAGCAGGCCACCGCTGAGGCTCCTGGCTCTTCTGGTACAGGTCTCCCTTGAGGCTGGTCCCCCAGCTGCTCTTTTTCACCCTTGGTGTCCAGGGATGTGGCTCTGGGCAGAGGGCACCCCTGGGAGGGAAGGACCTGTCGCCGTAGGGGTTTCCACTGCTTCCCAGCCTGGCCTGTTCATCCCCCCTCCAGCCCCACAGTGCCCTCGTCTCCTGCTCAAGCCTGGCTCTGCCTTTGCTGCTCTGGGAGAGGGCTACACTGTACCTGGTATTACTCTCTTGACACCCTTTGTAGGGGCAGGGGCATTGGGGGGCACCCCAAGAGCCAGGCATGTCCTGCCCCACCTGCCTCCTCTGGCTCCTGGCCCGATGCGGGCCTGAGGGGTGAGGGGATGCACAGAGTCAGGGGCTCCTGTGTGCCTTCCATCGGCAAAGGTCCACTGAGGCCCCAGGCGCCAGCCACCAAACTACTATGTGAGCCTGGGCTAGATCCCCTATCTGAGATGGAGGCTGAGCCAGGGCGCCCTGGAGCAGTTCTGAGGACGCTGGGGGTGGGAACTGCCCCTGGTTGAGTGCACAGAGTGAGCCAGTCCGGCAGGAAGCACTTCTGTTCTCTTCGGGCACCAGCGTTTGTAGGTGCCTGGTCTGGGACCTCGGGGAGCCGGCAGGTTAATGGCAGAGGCTGGCGGTGCAGGCTGCGTGGGGGGCCATGGGCGCATCTGATCAGGCTTCAGGGAAGTGGTTATCAGGGAGCTGACTGCACTCACAGAGCCTGAGTGAAGCAACGTGGGGTCTTCCAGGGCTGCTACAGTGACGAATGTTTGTGCGTGAGAAGGACTAGGAGTTTGCAGGCAGAAGAGCATTCTCTCCCCGGGAGGAAGGCTGCCGCTCCAGAGCCCCGACTGACCCGCCCACCGAGGTGGGGGAGGGGGGCTGCTTCCTGCAGCCTGGGGCTGTGGGGGAGACTCCCGCGGTGACGCGCTTCGTGTCTGGCGGGTCTGGTCAGCGGAAGGGCGAAGCGAATCACCGATCTGCACAGGGAGTGGGGTATCTCCCCAAGGTCACCGTGCGCTGCCTGCGCCCCGCCTCTTTGCGGAGCCTGCTCTCCTGCTGCGCACCTTCCTGCTAGGTTAGAGCCCCCTGGGGGCTGCGCCGGGGACCTCCCCGTCCCCGGGTGTCCTCCCTCCTGGCTCGGTGCCTTCCTTGCCTTGTCGCCCGCCCCGTGGTAAGATGCCCACCCACTGCAGTCGGCAGCGATTGTGGGGGCAGGAAGGGCTGCAGGGGCAACAGATGACGTCATGGCTCCCGTCCAGCCGCTGCTTCCGCTGCAGCCTCCCGCATCCCAGCGCTGCCTCCAGAGGCTTTCCCTCCCCACTCGCCATCCCTTTTGAGAAAGCTCATCAGACCCCGCCTTCCTGGCTTCCAAAACCCGGGCATTTTGTGTTCCCCTGCCCGCCCCCTGCCCAAAGCCCCAAGCTGTGGTCCCCAGCCCCTCCCCTCAGGCTACCAGACAATGGGGAACTGGCTGGATCCTCTTAAAGGGACAGTGTCCCAGCAGCACTCTTGCTGCTATGCGCTCCCTCCTCCTCCCCCCTCCCCTCCCCAGTTCCCTAGTTCAGGAGCAGTCATTGAGTGCAGTCAATGAATGCTGCCCTGTGCAGGCTACGGTAGAGTGGAGGCTTTCCCGGCTTCCTGGAGCACAGTGCTCTCTGACCCAGCCCCAGTCTTTCCTGCCCTCCTGTCTCCTGGTTTGTTCCCCCACTGAATCATGAGCTCAGAGCCTGGGCCCTCCTATCCCTATGCGACCTTGGTACATCACCCGGAGCACCCAGACAGCAACAGAGCTGGACGGGTCCCCTAGCCGTTCTCTGCGCAGTGTGTACTCCGGCCCAAACATACCTGTGCATGCCAGGACCCTGGGTCAGGCTTTGCAGAACCCAGTGGGGCTTGTGCCCGGGGTTGAGGAGGGTGTCAGTCACTGGAGGTCCCACATTTTTGCATTTGCTTATTACCCTGGCTTAGCTGAGCTGCTGGTCCCCACCCGACCAGGACACTTGACGGGAAAGACGTCAGGCGTGTAGGTCCAGCTCCTGGCCTGGGGGGTGGCACATAGAAAGAAGCCTGTACGTCATTTCTCCCCATCTGCCCTTCAGGGGCCCCACCAGCCAGGCCTTCCCGCTGCCTATGCTGAACCCCGTTCTTGTGACTGGCAGCACTCGTGGGGCTGGCTGAAGCCTAGGGAGCCGGGAGATCCCCTCTCTTAACTGACTGACTGGTCTATACTGAGCTGAACTCCTGCCTTGTATCTTGGTGGAACTGGGAGTATCTTCATGGGGCCTATGGTGCCCATCTCTGTGACCTTGGGCAGGGTAGACCCTCCTAAGTTCATCTGCCTCATCTCTAAAACGAGGATAGCCATGCCTGCCTCATGGTGGCCTGTGAGGATTAGTAAATTTATTAAGCAAGAAAATGGGAAGGTGCCAGCACTTAGTAGGTCTTCACAGCGCCGAAAGGTTACCACCATCTACGTCAGCCGCCAGAGCTGCCTCTGCTTTGCTGGGAGTGGGGGGGAGGGGGAGGGAGAGGAATCCGACTAGACTGGAAGAGTGGGGCTCACAGTTTGTTCCAGCCCCGCTCCCCCCCGACCTGAATCCTGGGCTCCCAGGTTCCAGCCCTCCCTGGGCCTGACTGGTGGGTGACTGAGAGTAACTTGCCTGCCCTCGCTGGCCATCTTCCTTCACGACAAGGGACAGGGGGCTCAGATGAGTCACACCTCTCAGTCCAGGTCTAGCAAGTGGGCCAGACACCCTGGGTGCAGAACTGCCGAGGGCGGGCGTTCAGGCTGCACGTAGTACCAAGGCTTCGGGCTGAGGGGCCACGGCAGAGGGGGTGGGGGTGGGCGCTGAATCCATCCCCGGCTCCACTTGCCAAGCCCTGTGCCCCAACACAGGCTGCTCCCGTCCAGAGGGTACACCTTTCTCTAGTGCTGCCTGTAGACTGGAAGGGCCCAGGTGTGCGGGAGGGGTGGGCCCCTCTGAGCCCCAGCTCCCCTTCCACCCAGGTGTTGCGAATGCAGTGCCTCCCTTTCACACCAGTACTATGAGAAGGATGGGCAGCTCTTCTGCAAGAAGGACTACTGGGCCCGCTATGGCGAGTCTTGCCACGGGTGCTCAGAGCACATCACCAAGGGGCTGGTCATGGTAAGCACCCCTCCCCCACTCACACACCTCACCTGTGTGTGTGTGTGTGCGCGCGCGTGCATGTGTATGTGTTTTCACAGGTTTCCCTGCTCCAGATCTCTCTCCCATCATCTCTCTTGTTCTTCTTTTCACTAGTTCTCTGATTCCTCTGTGCCTCCTGAGCCTGTTTCTCTGTCTGTATCCCTCAGCCCGCTGTTATGGAGGCAACTCTGTCTGCCCCGAAGTTGGTTTGGGGCTGCCCTTCTGAGAGGAGGCCGAGGGGAGGAGCTATGGGGGCTGAAGGGGCTGCTGAGGTGGCTTGTCCCCAACTCCCCTTCCAGGTGGCCGGGGAGCTGAAGTACCACCCCGAATGCTTCATCTGCCTCACATGTGGGACCTTCATCGGTGATGGAGACACGTACACTCTGGTGGAGCACTCCAAGCTCTACTGGTGAGTGCCCTGCCCCTCCCTGCGCCTGGCGTGCCCCCCCCCCCCGTGTCACACGTCTCCCACACCAGGGCCCTTCCCCTTTCCATGTGGGGGGCAGTCATAGTGACAGTGTAGAAACCACTGGGAAATATAAGACACAGCAATCAGGTGGAGAAAGCCTCAGACATCAGCTTTCTTTTCTCTTTGTTTTTTTCTTTTTAATATTTACCTAATATTTTGGCTGCGTCCGGTCTTAGTTGCGGCATGCAGGATCTTTTGTTGTGGCGTGCGGGCTTCTCTCTAGTTGTGGTGCACAGGCTCTCTAGTTGCGGCGCGCGGGCTCAGTAGTTGCAGTCCACGGGCTTAGTTGCCCTGCGGTATGTGGGATCTTAGTTCCCCGACCAGGGATCAAACCCACATCCCCTGCCTTGGAAGGCTTATTCTCAACTACTGGACCGCCAGGGAGGTCCCACAGACATCAGCTTTCTTACTGACATCACTGCTGTGCAGTTCTGGCACCAACCCTCAGAGTTAGCACCAACCCTGTGAGCTCAGGACCTGTCCCCAGCAAGTTCGCCCTGACTTCAGTCACCGGCCACAAGTTTGGGAGTCCCCAGGCCGCTCGCATTTCTGACCGATTGGCTGCAAAGTCAGGGATTCCCACAGCTCTCTCAGCTTTGATACTTCGCTCAATGACTCAGAGCTCAAGAGAGCACTATACTCGCAATTATAGTTTTTTACTAAAGGCTACAAATCAGGACCAGCCAGATGAAGAGACGCAAAGGGCGAGGTCCGGGAGGGTCTCGAATGCACAGCTTCTGTGCGTTCCACCCATGGAATCAAGACGTGTGACCTGTCCTCCCTGGCATCACCAGAGTTTTTATTGGGGTTTCATTATGTAGCATAATTGATTGAATCACTGGGCATGGATTGAACTCAGTTTCCTCGAGGTCAGGCTGGGTCAGCCATAGCGCTCTCATCACGTGGTCAGTCTTTCTGGTGACCAGCACCCACCTCCCTGCTGCCTGAGTCATCTCATTAACATTAGCTCAAGTGTGTGAAAGGCTCAAGAAAAAGGAAGATACTCCTGTTCCAAGGATTTAGAGCCAAGGGACAAAGACCAGACAAATTCTTTATTATGGCAACACTGATAAAGCTGGATTTGAGGGCAGCATGAATTTTGAGGATCCCAAATGGACTCTTAATGACTTCCTGCTGAACTGGACTTATCCCCAGGCCTCATCTTGGCCAGCTGACAGAGCATAGACAACCTAGAGTGAGCCCCGGAGAGGGGCAAGGCTGGGCTGAGCATGCCCAGTTCCTGCTTCCCAGCCCATCAGGCAGCCAAGATCCTACTCTTCCCTTGGGGAGCAGTGAGGGGAGGGTGGGAGGAGAAGAGAGCCTGGGGCTGAGGGATCAGGGTGGGGGTGATGCTGGTTACTGTCCTGACACACTTTTCTTCCCGCTCTTTGGGTCCCCACTGCCTGTGGCTCTTGCAGCGGACACTGCTACTACCAGACCGTGGTGACCCCCGTCATTGAGCAGATCCTGCCTGATTCCCCCAGCTCCCACCTGCCCCACACAGTCACCCTCGTATCCATCCCAGCCTCGGCTCATGGCAAACGTGGTCTCTCGGTCTCCATCGACCCCCCTCACGGCCCGCCAGGCTGCAGTACAGAGCGCTCCCACACCGTCCGCGTCCAGGGGTGAGTGGCTGGCCTGCCGAGGCTGCAGCTGTGGGCACGGATGCTCTAGGTGGGTGGCCGACCCTGGGGCAGGGGGGCCCTGAGAATGGGTGAGCACATGGGCCCAGATGGAACCCAGCTCTGACAACTGGTATACCAGATGCCTGGTCCAATCATTCCTCCAAAAAAAATAACAAATGTTAGATAAAATATTTTAAATGTTTTCTTTAATCCCTGCATGACCCAACAAGAAAGAGAAGTAACCAAGTCAGGAATAAATGAAGGAAGGAGCCCAGGGGTGTCAGCAGAGCACGGAAGGCAGCCATGACTTAAGGGCAAATCTGAATTGGGTGAATTAGGCTTCAGTTTTCGAGTCTTCTCATGGCTGAACCTCTCAAAGCCCTGACTTGCTCAAGGAAAGTGAGACTAATAAGAGAACGCCTCCCCACCCCATAAAGCTGCAACCCCCAAAGGGCTCTCAGGGTGGGGAAGAACAAGAAATAAACCACACCTTCCACCAGCCGCCCCTGGCAACCAACTCCCAGAACTAGAAGATAAACTGATTTGAACCTAAATGGAAGGGGAGAGGGAATCTCCCCTGAGAATTCATACACTTGGGTTTGCCAACCAAGTTCACATGCCTGGGTGGTTCAGAAAACCTCCAGGCAAAATTGTAAAAGTTTAAAGCACTTCTCCGCTAGGGGTAATGTCCTCAGGCCCTGACAGAATCAGATGCAGATCCTTTCTGGAGGAACCCACCTCCAGGCTTCACAGAATTTCTCTGAGATAAGCGTCCCAAGGAAGGTGAGCCATTTGGTCAAAAATCACAGAGAACAAGGCACTGTGAGCAAGAACCAGTGGAAACAACAGGTGGCAGAAGCAGACCTACAAAACCTGCAGATCGTAGGATTATCAGAAACAATACAAAATAATTATGCTCCATATGTTTTAATAAATAAAGAGATCCTTGGGAAAAGTGAGTAAAGAGCAAATGAATTTGGAGAAGAACCACATAGAACCCCTAGAAGTGAAAGATGGGTTTAGCAGTAGAGGAGGGTTTTAAACAGCTGAAGGGAGAAGCAAAAACGCAGCAAGGTGAAAATAGGGAAAGAGAGGTTAAGAGATACGGAGGACAGAGTGAGCAGCTCTAATCATCCATCTAGAATCACAGGAGAAGAGAGAATGGGAGAGAGGCAGTATTTGAAGATATGATGGCTGAGAACTTCCCAGAGCTGATAAAAGATACCAGTCCACAGACTGAAACCCAGTGAATCCCAAACAGGAAAACTAAAAAGAAATTCACCCGTAGATTCCCCCACCTGGTGAAACTACTACACCAAAGGCAAAAGAAAAGACTTTAAAAGTAGCCATAGGGAGGACTTCCCTGGTGGCTCAGTGGTTAAGAATCCGCCTGCCAATGTAGGGGACACGGGTTTGAGCCCTGGTCTGGGAAGATCCCACATGCCGAGGAGCAACTAAACCTGTGTGCCACAACTACTGAGCCTGTGCTCTAGAGCCCACGAGCCACAGCTACTGAGCCCCTGTGCCAGAGCTACTGAAGCCCTTGCGTCTAGAGCCCATGCTCCGCAACAAGAGAAGCCACTGCAATGAGAAGCCTGCACACTGCAACGAAGAGTAGCCCCGACTCGCCGCAATAGAGAGAAAGCCTGCGTGCAGCAGCAACAAAGACCCAACGCAGCCAAAAATAAATAAATAAATAAATTTATTAAAAAAAAATTTCCTTCAAAAACAGAACAGGCTGACACCTGATTTCTCAACAGAAACAATGAAAGCCAGAAATAGTGAAATGATATATTCAATGCACTCAGCAAAAAAGAACCATCAACCTAGAATTCTATACTTGATGAAAATATTCTTCATGTATGAAGGTGAAATAAAGACATGTTAAGGCAGACAAAATGAGATTTGATACTAGCAGATCATCCCTAAAGAAAATTCTAAAGGTTGTAGAAAAGGTCCGAGATGTAAGAAGAAATGAAGGTTAAGGGGCTGACGCAGTTGATAACATGCTATGAGATGTTGAGCAGTTCCCTTGTCCTCTCGGGTCTTTGGGGTCTCTGTCTGAACAACGAGGAAGTCAGATACCTTGGGGCCTTCTAAGATTTCTCCTGGGCCTTCATGGACCCTTGAGAAATAGTTTTAAACGTTCCGCGTGTCTGGGTGTGGGAGCCACGTGCCAGCTTTCTTTGGATTCAGTGAACGTTTCTCACATACCTGCCAGGTACCAGGCCCCATGCCTAAGCACTGGTGAGAAGTGAAGGTGGTACTGGGGCGGGGAGGAGGAGGTTGGGCTTGACTCTGCATCTCCACCCCCATCTTGAGCATCAGCCAGGCCAGCAGCTGCCTTCCATACACAAGTGAACAGACAGATTGGTGAGAGAGATGGGGAAACTCCCAGACCAGCTGGTCCCTGACAACTGGGCAGAATTTTAGGAGTAGAGGGTCCATGGCACCTCCTCCCTGCCTCCCTCACTGGGTGAGCATTCTTTCCTGCTTCTTTTTCCCCCTTTGGCCATACTGTGCAGCTTGTGGGATCTTAGTTCCCCCACCAGGGATCGAACCCGGGCCACAGCAGTGAAAGCACCGAGTCCTAACCACTGGACCACCAGGCAGTTCCCTAAGGAATATATATATATATTTTTTTTTTTTTTCTTTTTTTTTCGGTACGCGGGCCTCTCACCGTTGTGGCCTCTCCCGTTGCGGAGCACAGGCTCCGGACACGCAGGCTCAGCGGCCATGGCTCACAGGCCTAGCCGCTCTGCGGCATGTGGGATCCTCCCGGACCGGGGCACGAACCCGTGTCCCCTGCATCGGTAGGCGGACTCTCAACCACTGCGCCACCAGGGAAGCCCAGGAATATATTTTTAAGGCTATATCCATAAGAAGTCTTTATCCATGAAAATATATTCACTATTTTTTAACTTTTTTAATCCTGAAAATTTCAAATTTACAGAAGAATTACTAAATTAAAAGTATATTGAATACCTATACACCTTTTACCTAAGTTCACCAATTTTAACTTTCTACCACACTTGAGGCATGTGTGTCTCTCCCTCTGTCTATGTATTTGTGTGTATGTACATATATATACTTATTTGTATATACACACACGTACATATTGCTATCTTTTACTAAATCATTTGAGTGGAGGTTGTAGGCACCATTGACCCATCCTCCCCCACATACTTCAGACCTTCTCCTAAAAACAAGGGCACTCCCTTACATAATTATCCATTGTATCTTATAGTGTAATGATGACATTGAGGAAGTTTAACATTGACACTTTTATTCAGTATCCAATCCACATGCGAATTTTGCCAGTTGTCTCAACGCTGTCCTTTATGGCAGTTTCCCCCTTGATCCAAGATCCAATCCGGGATCACACATTGCATTGAATCCTCATGTCTCTTCAGTGTCTTTTCATCTGTGCCAGTTCCTCAGCTTTTCATTGTCCTTTATGACCTTGACATGTGTGAAGAGTGCAAGTCAGTTAAGGAAGCCCTCCATTGGGGTTCTACAGAGGGTTCCTCTTCCTTAGGTTTAAGTCATGCATTTTAACCAGATAACTGATGCTGTGTCCTTCTCTGTGCATCTTACTGGTAGACACAGGATGTCAGTGAAGTGCTCCCTTTATTGGGGATGTCAACTTCGATTATTTGGTTAAAGTGCAGTCCACTCTCTCTGCTGTAAAGGATTTTTTTTCCCCTTTGCAATGTAACCAGTTTGAGTCATCTGTGAGATATGAGTCTGTAAATATCCTGTTTCCAGCAGCCTGTCACTGACTCTAGCATCCACAGATAATTCTGTGATGGCTACGAAGTGGTGATTTTCTGTGTTCTTCCTGCTGTATTTATTACCTGACTTTCCTGTGTAAGGAAGCATTTCTCCCCCATGTGAGAATATGCTCTCGATAATTGAAAAATTGCTAGCAATCTGTTTTTCTTAAAGCTCTCAGTCTCCTTTCTGTCCTGCCCACCCTCCCCCAGCCCTTCCCCACCTCAGGTCAGAGACAAAGTGACCATTCTTTGAAAAGCTTTTACAAAGACAAAATGACAATCACAGTTAACACCAAGGAGTTAAAAGAAGCAAGTAAATTTGGCAAGTTGGCCATTCTGTGAGTTAGTTTATGGCCAAGTAATCCAGGGCACCAGCCCCATCTCCACCCTGCAGCTGTGGCCCAGCCCAGGCTACTGGCTCCTTCCCGCCGATCCCAGAGGAGTGGGAGCCTTAGCTTCATCTTGCAGGGCAAGTTTGGGGGTCAGGTAGGAAGCAGTGGGTCCAGACCCTCTTAGGACTCTTTGACGCTTGTCTGCCCCACACGTACCAGCCAGGTAGAAGGAGAGGTCTGTCCTCCATGGCAGAGACAACGCTCTGTTGAACAGGAGCCCCTGAGCATCTAGTATAGGGGGGCAAACACCTGGAGGGCATGCCACTTTTCTCCAGTTCCACACCCACGGCAAGCATTGTAATTAGTATAGAACTCTTCCCACCAAACCAGAACTCGGTGTTCCCGCCAGTTGCCACCTGCCGATCACACAAGATAGAATGGTTTGCCCCACGCTCCTCATCTGATCCCCTTGGCCTTGGTTTCCTAGCGGGGTGAGCAGGGGTCTGACCACCGCTCTATGCCCACAGAGTGGACCCGGGCTGCATGAGCCCAGATGTGAAGAATTCCATCCACGTTGGAGACCGGATCCTGGAAATCAATGGCACACCCATCCGGAATGTGCCCTTGGATGAGGTATGGGTCCTGAGTCTGGTTGGAGGTGGTGCTCCCCTGAGAGCACCACCCCTGAGACTCACCTGTCCACACTCCTGCTCTCCCCAGATTGATCTGCTGATCCAGGAAACCAGCCGCCTGCTCCAGCTGACTCTTGAGCATGACCCCCATGACGCACTGGGCCACGGGCTCGGGCCTGAGTCCAGCCCCCTGGTCTCCCCGGTTCACACTCCCAGCGGGGAGGCGGGCAGCTCTGGCCGGCAGAAGCCTGTCCTGTAAGTCAGCCCTGCACCTTGATGTACTGTATCTTGGTACTTTCGCTGACGCTGGGCCTCAGGGGGCATGGGACCTGGTCCCTACCCTCCGGTAGCTCACAGTCTGATGGGGGAGTCAGCCCTGCAAAAAGAAGGAGGCCGGCAAGGGGTGCAGGGGGCTAGAAAGAGGAAGGAGAATGAGGAGCAAACGGGGAAAGCAGCACCCCCAGCTGGGGATGACAGCGCTTCCAGGGTGGACCAGCGCCCTGGCTTCGAGGAGCAGCTGGCCAGCAGCTCAGAATGCTGGGGCATCGGATGTGTTGGGGAGTGATGGGCTCTGAGGCAGAAACTCGTGGCCGAGGTCTTCGGGCTTTGCCCATCCCGGGGCGCCACCGAAGGGTGTTGCAGCACAGTGACGTGTTTCACAGAGACCACTCTGGTCCCCTTTGCGGGGAGGTGCCCAGGACCAGAGACAGCTGGGGGACTGTTGTGGTGGTCCAGGCCAGAGGGGCCAAGTGCCCTGTACCCTCTTAAAGAGAGGTGGGGGGGCACCAGGAAGAAGCCCAGAAGCAGCCTGGTCCTCGTGCCACTCACTAAGGGGGTCTGCTCAGGACTCCTGGTCAAGGCTTTGAGGGGGACACCTGGGATGACAGCCTTTACACTAAGAAACAGTGATACTGAAGGCATGTGTTTCCTCCTCCCCTGCATTTGTCTGAGCTCAGGCTACCCTGCAAGGCCACCTGTGGGCATTCTGGGCAGGTAGTCTGCCTCTGCACTCCAAGGCCTGGGACTCAAATGCTGGGAGACAAAGCGTCTGATCCAGGGTCACCAGGCAGAGAAGGCCTAGGGCAAACATTCCTACCTTAACAGGAAGTCCAAGCCAGACAGGGCACTGGGTGCTGGCATCAGGATGGGGCAAGAGCCTTACGACTGCCCCGGGAGAGCTGTCCTCTGCCGCCCTTTCTGGCTGTACGGGTGACTGTACATAGACTGGCATCGATGGGGCATGGCAGGCAGGGGGAAGGGGGCAGGGCTGAGACCTGGCCTCCCCCCAAGGGGGCCTCGTCCAGGTGCCCACCTGGTGGCAGCGGGCACTGGGTGTGTCCCCCCAGGAGGAGCTGCAGCATCGACAGGTCCCCGGGCGCCGGCTCGCTGGGCTCCCCGGCCTCCCAGCGCAAGGACCTGGGTCGCTCCGAGTCCCTCCGTGTGGTCTGCCGGCCGCACCGCATCTTCCGACCTTCGGACCTCATCCACGGGGAGGTGTTGGGCAAGGGCTGCTTCGGCCAGGCCATCAAGGTACAGGGCACGCCAGGCAGGGATGGGGCTGTGGGTGGGAGCAGGGGGGCAGTCTGTGTGTGACCCGTTGGTCCTCCACCCTCCTCCCACCAGTGTCCCCAGGAAGCCCCAGTGGACGGGTATCTGGCTTCCAGACTCGCTGGCCAGAGCTCTCCTCCACCTGGGCCTCCCTGAGCTAGTTAGGGGGAGGGGACTTACTATACATAGACCACGAAAAGTGGCTCCTCAGGGTGGGGGATGGGAGGGCAGCCCAGACTGACCCTGAAGGCTCCCTCCCCCAGGCCCCCTTACTGAGCCCAATACCAGCCCCCTCCTGGCCTCTGGGCTGCTCACCCCCTTCACACTCTCCCCCAGCAAGACACGAGCCCTTCCCTGGCTCTGATGTCACCTGGCTATGACCAGACTGGAAGGTTCAGAGTTATACAAAAGGCACCAGCCAGGTTGTCCACGTGTGCAGACAGGCCCCAGCCCCTGTCCCTGGTCAGAATCTGTGGTAGAGCTACCATTTGACTTCCAGGAGACAGCCCAGCAGAGCAGAGGAAAGAGAGCTGGCCTCTGGGTCTGGCGATCCTGGACCCAAGCCCTGGCCACCCCCCTTCCTGCCACCTGGGTGACTGTGGGCCCTGGTGGGAAACCTTCTTGAGTCTCAGTTTCCTCACCTGTAAAGGACCTAAGTCCCACCCCCTCGGGGGCTGGGAGCATCCCATGAAAAGTCTGCGAAGGGCTTGAAGCCGTCTGTCCGTCTGCCTGGGGTGGGGCTGGGCCTCCTGCAGGGCGGGCCTAGAGCAGAGCACGTGCCTGTGCTGAGTCTCAAGCCCTGGGCGTCCCCACGTAGGTGACACACCGGGAGACAGGCGAGGTGATGGTGATGAAGGAGCTGATCCGCTTCGATGAGGAGACCCAGCGGACGTTCCTCAAGGAGGTGGGTGAGGGGCCTGCTGCACCCTCCCCACCAGACTCCTAGGACCTGCCCCACCCTTCGCCATTGAGAGGGGGTGGGCGGCAGAGGGCTCCGGGAGGATGTGTCGCTCAAGCCCACGCTGGAAGAAGAGAAACTGTCTGCCAGGAGGGCGAGAGGGGCAAGGACGTCGCTGGGGGTGGGAGCAGCCCAAGCAAAGAGCACGGCAGCCGGCAGGTGTGACCCCGGGGGCTTGAAGGCTCCTCCATCTTTGGAACTGTCCGTGGTGGCCTCTGGTGGGAAACGGGGAGAAGGAGACGTGGGCCCAGCCTGTTTGCACCCCACCAGGTGAAGGTCATGCGATGCCTGGAGCACCCCAACGTGCTCAAGTTCATTGGGGTGCTCTACAAGGACAAGAGGCTCAACTTCATCACCGAGTACATCAAGGGTGGCACGCTCCGGGGCCTCATCAAGGGCATGGTGAGTGCCGGGCAGAGCCCCTGCCTGAGACCCGTCCCAGCCGCTCCTGCCCTAGGACCCTGGGCCCAGCGGCTCCTCTGTCGGTCCCAGTCTCCTCCCAGGCTCTTCACTGGGGATCGGCCTCTGGTGTCAAAGGCCCTCCAGACCCTGATTCTGAATCAAATATGGGAGCAACTGACTCCATCTAAGGGGGGGGGGGGGGGGAAGCTGGGGCCCAGAGAAGGGTGGCAGCTTTGCTGAGGGGATGCACAGGCTGTCAGGTTAACCCCGTGCACCTGCCATAGGTTACCTCTCCCAGAGGGTCTTTGTTTTGCTTCTAAGCAAAACCAAGTCACTTACTGTTTGCCATGATGTATAAAATTCAGAACTTGCTGTAACAGCTTGGATGAAATTACCGATCCTCCTCTAAAAAAGAAGCGTTTGGAGGGGAGCTTCTAGCTCTCCTGGGATGCTGACGGTGCCCCGGGATCCGACGCTCAGCATCACCACCCCAGCATCACCCTCAGACCCGGAGACCCTGTTCCCTTCTGTCGCCGCTGAGTCCTCAGTCCCTTAGGTTGGATTACCTGCTGTCACCAGAGTATGGTCCCTGCGGGCTCCGGACAGGTGTAACTTCTCAGAGGGATTCTATGGTCCAGTGCAACTTAGAAATGCTGGGCTGCACCAGCGCAGGCCTCCTGGCTGCACCTGAATCTTTAATACGTTCTGATGTCCTTGCTCTCCCACTTGAGGTCTCCAAGGAGATGGGGGGAGAGAATGGGGTGTTTCCCCAAATGATTTGAGCCCAGAGCCCTGTTCTCCAGAGTGACTCACCGCAGCTCTCTGCAGGCGACCTTGCCAGGCCCGCCTCTGCTGGGCCATGAAAGCAGGTTCAGGTTTTTTAAAAACTCGAAAAAATGGGATGTTGTAGAAGAGAGAGTTTTTGTTCTCAGAGGAGGTGGGTCAGGAACTATAGAAGAGTATCTCCCACCCCGTCACTGTTTGGAACCAGTTCTGTTAGAAAATTGTTTTGAATTATTCACCCACAGCCCTTAGAGGGGACAGTTGTGAGGGACTTCCAGTGGTTAGGCAGTCCAGTGGTTAGGACTCAGCACTCTCACTGCCGGGGCCACAGGTTCAATCACTGGTTGGGGAGCTAAGATCCCACAAGCCACATGGCAAAAAAAAAAAAAAAAGGACAGTTGTGGGTGTAGAAGAGAGTTGGGGGTGCGTCATCAGACCCTACAGGACAGTCGCCCCTTCCTGTCTCTCTCACCCAATGTCCTGCAACTGTGGCCCCGTTGGCTCATCCTGGTCATTCTCCCCACCTCCAGGACAGCCAGTACCCGTGGAGTCAGAGGGTGAGCTTTGCCAAGGACATCGCTTCGGGGATGGTGAGTAGGCTCCGATTGCCGCGGGGCGTGTGGGCTGGATTATCCGGCCCCACTTATAAAAGCATCTCGGGGCTTCCCTGGCGGTCCAGTGGCTAAGACTCCGCGCTTCCACTGCAGGGGGCGCGGGTTCCATCCCCGGTCGGGGAAGTAAGATCCCGCAGGCCACGCGGTGCGGCAAAAAACGGAAAACAAAACACGTTCTCCAGCGCTCACCTAAACTTCACAAGTTTAGAAATGGAAGGCACAGGAAGCTTTGAGAGAGGACAGAGGGGATCCAGTGGGAGGGGGGAAGGTGGGAGCCTTGGGGTGACCAGGGCGGGGCTGGGGGCCCTCAGCATGGCTGCCCCCTGACCCCGGTGCCCCCCACCCTCAGGCCTACCTCCACTCCATGAACATCATCCACCGGGACCTGAACTCCCACAACTGCCTGGTTCGTGAGGTGAGCAGCCAGGCCGGGAGGGGACAGCGGGGGCCCCGCCCACCACGCCACTAGATGTGCGGGGGTGGGGGCTCTGCTGTGAGCGTGGCCTTGACGGAGAGCCGCCCACACCAGGCTGTACCAGGGGCTGCAGGCCCGGAGGAGGGCCCGGGTGTGTGGACTGGGGTGGTCAGGGCAGGCTTCCTGAAAGAAGCTTTGGTGGGGGATGTATTTCAATGGCGGACAAGTGGGCCCAGGGAGCCCGGCTCTAAGGGGCAGTGACTGAGGGACCACAGGCTGTGGTCGAGGAGGGAGTGGGCAGGTGGTGCCAGGGGCGTGTCTCAGTGTGACTCTGCTTCCGGGTCCCCCAGAACAAGAACGTGGTGGTGGCCGACTTCGGGCTGGCGCGGCTTATGGTGGACGAGAAGACGCAGCCCGAGGACCTGCGGAGCCTCAAGAAGCCAGACCGGAAAAAGCGTTACACGGTGGTGGGCAACCCCTACTGGATGGCGCCCGAGATGATCCACGGTGAGTCGGCAGCCCCGCCTGGCACATCCCCCAGGGCCCCGCGGTCCCAGGCGGAGCTGCAGGAGGCGGAGGTCCTGCCCCGCCCCTCCTCGAGTCCTGTCGTTGGTCTCCTTGTGCTGCTGCAACCAGTCGTCACACACTTGGCTTAAAAAACACAAATTAGGGCTTCCCTGTGATGCAGTGGTTGGGAATCCGCCTGCCAATGCAGGGGACACGGGTTCGAGCCCTGGTCCGGGAAGATCCCACATGCCGCGCGGAGCAACCAAGTCCGTGCGCCACAACTACTGAGCCTGCGCTCTGGAGCCCGCAAGCCACAGCTACTGAACCCCACGCGCCTAGAGCCCGTGCGCCGCAGCAAAAGAAGCCACCGCAAATGAGAAGCCCGCGCACCGCAACGAAGAGCAGCCTCCGCTCGCCGCAACTAGAGAAAGCCTGCGCGCAGCAACGAAGACCCAGTGCAGCCAAAAACAAAATAAATAAGTAAATAAATTTATTTAAAAAACCCCACAAATTATCCTGTAGTTCTGGAGGTCAGGAGTCCAGTATCAGGCTCACTGAAGTCTGAAGTCTGGTGTCAGCAGGGCTGCATTCCTTCTGGAGGCTCAAGGGGAGAGGATCTGTTTCCTTTCCTTTTCCAGTTTCTAGAGGCTGCCTCATTCCCTGGCTCCTGGTCCCTCCTCCAGCAAGGCCAGCAACGTAGCCTCTTCTCTCTGACTTCTGTGTCCATTGTCATATCTCCTTCCCTGACCCTGACCCTCCGCCCTCCTTCATAAAGACCTTTGTGATCCCATAGGGCTCAGCTGAATGATCCAAGATAATCTCATCTCGAGATCCCTAACTGAGTCACACCTGCAAAGTCCCGTATAAGGCAGCGTGTTCACAGGGTCCAGGAATTAGGACCGGGACACCTCCAGGACCATTATTCAGCCTCCCACAGATCCCCTTTCTCCCACTCCATTTCTTTTTTTTTCAGGCCTGTTACACAGTGGTCCCATGTGTGCCCAGACTGGGGCTTTATAAAGCCTCTCCACAGGCAGGGGACATGCAGACACAGGGTCAGGGCCGCAGAGCCAGGGTCATCTCAACGCCAGCTCTGACCAAAGTTAACCTACCCCTCAATAGCTTAACCTGTAAATTGGGGTTAATATTCCCTATCTTTAAGGAGTAATGTGAGAATTAGATAAGGTTTGTAAGCTAGTCAGAATTCAATAGAGAGTGGCTGTCCTGATTATTTTTAACGTCGTTAGAGAGAGGGTATTGTTTCCATTTTACAGCTGAGGCAACTGAGGCTCAGAGAGTCTGTATCAGTCCCTGAGGCTGCTGTAACAAATTACCACAAGCCAGGTGGCTTAACAACAGACACTTATTCTCTTATAGTTCTGGAAGCCAGAAGTCTGAAATCCAGTAGAGCCGTGCTCTCTCCGGGGATTTTAAGGGAGAATCCATTCCTTGCTGCTTATAGGTTCTGATCCTGGCGTGTCCGGACTTGTGGCCACATCGGTCCAATCTCTGCCTCTGTCTTCATGTGACTGCCTCCTCCTCTGTGTCTTTTCCTTTTCAGTCTCTTTTATAAGGACAACTGTGATGGCATTTAGGGCCCGCCCGGATAATCCAGGACTGTCTCATCTCAGGATCTTTAACTTAATCGTAACTTCAAAGATGCTTTTTCCAATAACATTCACAGGTTCCAGGGGTCTGACATAGTTCTCTTTCGGAGTCACCACTAGGTCCATGACCTGCCCAGAGTCACATCGCTGGTTAGTGACCGAGCTGGGCCTGGAACCCCTTGCCCAGGGCTTTCACCTTTACCCACTGCCTACCCCCGCCAACAGGTTGGCTCAGACTGGGTGGGCTCGGGTAGTGTCAGAGCCTAAGGCCTGATCCTACAGAGGTTTCCAGCATCTGCCTCCTGTCCTGACCTGCTGGCCAGGGCATCCCCCCAGTGGGCGGGCCCCTGGCCCGGCACCCTCACCAGCTGATATCCCTGGCCCCGTGCACCTGCTGACAGCGGTCTCTTCATCCAGGCCGCAGCTACGATGAGAAGGTGGATGTGTTTTCCTTTGGAATCGTCCTGTGTGAGGTAGGTCCGGGGTGGGCTCACAGTCCCAGGCTGCAGGCTGAAGTCTGCAGGGGCCCCAGGCCAGGGAGGCTCTGGGAACGGGGCTGCCCACAGCCACCTGCATTCCCAGGGGTGTGGTGGTCCAGGGGGCGCCAGGCCCGGGTGTGACCTGCCCTCGAACCCACCTGGGTGATGCCCAGTCCCAGGGGCCCTGGGTAACTGCTGGGCTTCGTGCTGGACAGATCATCGGGCGGGTGAACGCTGACCCAGACTACCTGCCGCGCACCATGGATTTTGGCCTCAATGTGCGAGGCTTCCTGGACCGCTACTGCCCTCCAAACTGCCCCCCAAGCTTCTTCCCCATTACTGTGTGCTGCTGTGATCTGGACCCTGAGAAGAGGTGAGTGGGTTGGGGGCTTAGGGTGGGGTGGTCCCCAGCAGAGCTCGAACCCACCATCCCCCTGCCTGTCTCCCCAGGCCCTCTTTCGTGAAGCTGGAGCAGTGGCTGGAGACGCTCCGCATGCACTTGGCTGGCCACCTGCCACTGGGCCCACAGCTGGAGCAGCTAGACAGGGGCTTCTGGGAGACCTACCGGCGCGGCGAGAGTGGACTGCCCGCCCACCCCGAGGTCCCCGACTGAGACCGGCCCGCCCAGCTGCCCCTGTCCCCGACTCGGGAGAATCCACCCTGCACCAGATTCCTCTGTATGCGGTGGCCAGGTGTGGCACCTTCAGCGGGGCAGCGGACACCCAGACCCCTCCCCAGCGCCAGGCCCTAACTTGCCTTCTACCCTGTGGGCCGTGGCCCCTGCCCTTTCTCTGCCCCCGGCCCCAGAGCTGGCCTGGCTGCACAGACACCATCACCTCACCCTGCCTTACCTCTGTCTTGGTGGGGCCACCCCCTCACGCTTCTCCTTGCATGAGCTGGAGGACCCGTGTGAGCTGTACCCCATCCCCTACCCGGTACCCTATCCCACACCCGCTGCCCCGGCTGTCCTATGCACACTCTACCCGTCTGCAGCTCCTCCGAGGCTGGGCCAGAGGACAGATAGCCTCAGACCGTGGCTCATCACTGTATTCCCAGGAGCCAAACAGGGAGTCTGGGGCCCATCACCCCCCCAGGGGGTGTCTAGGTAGCGTCAGGTATTGATAATTATCCAAACCCCCAAAGCAGAGAGAGGTCGTCTCCTGTGGAGTGGAAATCCCCGTGGCTGGGCAGCAGCCCTCCCTCGCTTTGGGTCTTTTTGTCTTTATTGAAGCCACTTTAGTGAGAAGCAGGTACCAGGCCTCAGGGTGAAGGGTGGGTCCCTGGAGGGAGAGGGGAGCCGTGGTCCCAGGGCCAGAGCTGCTGGGAGGAGCAGCAGAGGGAGGCTGGGCAGAGTGGACGAGGCAGTGTCCACCAGCACCCCAGCCCCCTGAAGTTCATCTCAGCACCATCCCGGGCCTCTCCCCGAGGCTCCCTGCCAGTGGCCAGAGCAGCCCCTGCCCCTCCCCATGCCCTCTGTCCTCTGGGTTCTTTCTGTGTAATCTATTTTTTAAGAAGAGTTTGTATTATTTTTTCATACGGCTGCAGCAGCAGTAGCTGCTGGGGGCTTGGGGTTTTATTTTTTTGGCGGGCGGGGGTGGGGGGGCCATTTTGTCACTTTGCCTCAGTTGAGCATCTAGGAAGTATTAAGACTGTGAAGCCTTCTCAGTGCACTTTGAACCTGGAAAGCAATTGAAACAGGCCCATGGAACTATGACTCAGGGAGGTGGGACACAGTCACCTCCATCCAGGAATCACGATGTCTAAGGAACAAAACCCAGACTCAGAATAATAAAATAAATTCTGTACTCCCCACCAGATCCCGCTTTGTGACATGTGTCTGGGGGCCCTGAGGAAACAGGAGGAGAGAGGAACTTTTTGGATTAGAAGCCTTGTGGGAAGACAGGAATGGAGGTGTGGGAATGGAGGTGTGGACGGAGGGCATAGAGGGTGGGGTTGGAGGTGGTGGCCCAGCTGGGACAAGTGAGGACTTTCCAAAGCTGGGTTTGGTGGTGGGGGGAGGATTGGGGAAGAGTGGGAGAGACTAGGGAATGGATTGCTCTTATATCATGCTTGCTTTTTTTCTAAAATGTAAAGGGTCCAATCAGGAAAACAAACCACACTAGTTATTTCAAATATAGGTCATTTAATCCAGGGAATTGTTTATACAGGTGGCGAAACCACAGTGGAAGGGCGAAAGGTGGATACTGAGATAACCATTTCTGATGAACTGCAGGGAGCAGCTGCTACCCCTTGGCTGGGGCACTTAAGGAAAGAGGAGGTTAGTTTAGTTATCTGGTGTCGGGTAACACTTCACCCCTTAAATTTGGTGGCTTGAAATAACAGTGATCACTCATGGATCACAACCGCTCTGTCAAGGATATGGGAGCAGCTTGGGTGGGTGGTTTTGGTCTGGGTTCTCTCCTAGGGTTGTGTTGGTGTTTGGGGTCTGGGGTCTCTCCTAAGTTTGTGGTCAGATACTGCCTGGGGCTACAGACATTTGAGGGCTTGAGTGGGACCAGAGGGTCCACTTCCAGGGGCCCTGTGTATGTGGCTCACACCCATGGCCGGAAATTGATGCTGGCTGTTGATGAGAAGCCTCAGTCCCTGTCAGGAGCCTCGCCATAAGGCTCCTTGAATGTCCCTACAGCATCCTCTAGGCGTGAGTATCCACTAGGGTGAGCGTCCCAAGAGACGAAAGCAGAGGCTCCACTGCCTTTTAGGACCTGCTCTCAGAAGCCACACAGGGTCACTTCCACCGTACTTCACTGGTCACACAGACCAACCCTGATTCAACGTGGGAAGTGTCTACACAAGGCCACAAGTAACGGTCCAGGAGATACCACTGGGGTCTTCTTGGACACTGGCTAGAGACGTGGAGGGTGGAGCCCCGGGAGACCAGTGCTTGGATTTTTGATTTTATGGGGGGGGAAGGGTTGGATTCCAGTTGGTGCTGGAACTTCTAAGAAGGTAGATGCAGAAATAGTGCTAGAGCTAAACATTTGCTCCTGCTGGACTGGAGGGCAGTAGAAAGTCCCTCCTCGTTCACATTCCAGTCTCCCTCAGCTGGTCCCTATTAGCAGGCCCACCTCAACAGGAACCCAGTTGCAAGGGAGTCTGGGAAATGTAGTTTTCAGTGGTCCAGCAACTGTATCACAGAACAGAAAGTGGAGTGGGCTTGAGGCTGAGATACCACAAGCAAGCAGCACAACCCACCCCTTTGGCTACTCATCACCCATGCACATCTTTCTACCATATTTGATATCCCTACAACTCTAACAGCTTCGTGCCTCCACCTAACAAGACGCAAGTATCCTTTGTACACAGATGTGTCATTCTCTTCCTAATACTGAAATCAGAAATAGTACAAGAAGAGGAAAATTACACACCATTATCATTCTAGAAATATCTAAAAAGAATAATATACTATGACCAAGTAGGGTTTATCCCAGGAATGTAATAGTGTTTCAGTATTTCAAAAGTAAATCCATGGAAAACCACAGTGAGATACCACTTAACACCCACAAGGATGGCAGTAATTTTTTTTTAAATTTTATTTATTTATTTATTTATTTTTGGCTGCATTGGGTCTTTGTTGCTGTGCGTGGGCTTTCTCTAGTTGCAGAGAGCGGGGGCTACTCTTTGTTGCAGTGTTCAGGGCTTCTCATTACGGTGGCTTCTCGTTGTGGAGCACAGGCTATGGGCGTGCGGGCTCTAGAGCACAGGCTCAGTAGTGGTGGCGCACAGGCTTAGTTGCTCCGCAGCATGTGGGCTCTTCCCGGACCAGGGATTGAACCCGTGTCTCCTGCATTGGCAGGCGGATGGATTCTCAACCACTGTGCCACCAGGGAAGTCCCCATAATTTTTAAAAAGAAAGAAAAAAATGTGTTGGTGAGGATGTGGAGAAATTGGAAACTTCATTCTCTGCTAACGGGAATATGAAATGGTGCAGCTGCTGTGCAAAACAGTCTGGCGGTTCCTCAAAATGTTAACCAGAGTTCTGACCCAGCCATTCTACTCTCAGGTATATAAACAGGAGAAATGGAAACGTACACACAGAAACTTGTACATGAAGATGCATAGCAACATTATTCATAACAGTCCAAAAGTGGGACTGACCCAGATGTCCACCACCTGCTGACTGGATAAACAAAACCTGGTCTGTTCGTACAATGGAATATTACTCAGCCCTGAAAAGGAATGGAATACTGATACGTGCTACAACATGGATGAACCTTGAAAACATTATGCTAAGAGAAAGAAGCCAGACAGAAAAGATCACGTGTTGATGATTCTGTGTACATGAAATGTCCAGAATAAGCAAATTCATAGACACAGAAAGGAGATTCGTTGGGGGGAAGAAGGGTGCATAGGGAGTGATTGCTAATGGGTATGGAGCTTATTGGGGAGATGAAGAAAATGTTCTGGAATTAGGCAGTGGTGATGGTTGCACAACTCCGTGAGCGTGTTAAAAACCACTGAATTGTACATTTTAAAATGGTGAATTTTAAGGTACGTGAATTACCTCAATTTTTAATCCATCAGTCGACGAAATCCATCATGACCAGATCATATCACATGATGTTGATAGTCTGACAAAAATTCAACATCCATTCCTGGTTTAAAAAAAAAAAATCTCAGCAAACTAAAAATAGAAGGTAACTTCCTTAAGCTGAGTGAAGGCAGCTACAAAAAAACAAAAAACAAAAAACAAAAAAACCCCACAGCTCACACTATACTTAATGGTAAAATAATGCACGCTTTCTTCCTAAGATCAGGAAAAAAAGGCAAGGAGGTGTAGCCTCACCACTGCTATTCACCATTGAACTGAAGTCCTGGTCACTGCAGGAAGAGAAGGAAACAGACAAGAAGTAAGATGTGTACAGATTGGGAAGGAAGAAATAAAACTGTTCCTGTTTCAGAAGACATGATTGTCTAGGTAGACCATACTAACAAATCTACCAAAACAAACAAACAAACACCCTCCTAAGAACTAAATTCAGCAAAGTCAGAAAATAAAAATGTCAAAGTCAGCCTGAAAAATCAGTCTACATACTACCAATGCACAGTTGGAAACCAAAAAAAATTTTTTGTCATTTATTTTGGGCCGTGCCACGTGGCTTGCGGAATCTTAGTTCCCCAACCAGGGATCGAACCTGTGCCCTCTGCAATGGAAGCGTGGAGTCCTAACCACTGGACCGCCAGGGAATTCCAAAATATTTTTAAAGCACCATTCACAATAGTCCCTCCGAAAGGAAACAGATCTAACAAAATCTAAAAGTTACAGATCTAACGAAATATGTGTAAGATCTGTATGCTGAAAACTGTAAAATGCTGAAGAAAGAACTCAAAGACTCAAATAAATAGACATAGTGCTCATGAACTGGATTACTCAATACAGTTAAGATGTTAATTCTCCCCAAATTGCTCTGTTGATTTCACACAATTCCAATAAAAATCCCAAGAACATTTTTTTGTAGAAATAGACAAGCTGAGTCTAAAATGTATATGCAATAGCAAAAGGACCAGAAAAGTTAAAGTACTTTTGAAAAAAGAAAAAGTTGAAAGACACACACTACCCAATTTCATGACCTGTAGGAACTATAGTAACCATGACAGGTTTGGTGAAGAGATAGACGTGTGCACCAATGGAACAGAAGAGAGTCCAGAAATAGACCCACGTGTATATAGCCAATTGCTTTTTTTTAAAATTAATTAATTTCTTTATTTTTGGCTGTGTTGGGTCTTCGTTGCTGCGCGCGGGCTTTCTCTAGTTGTGGCGAGCAGGGGCTACTCTTCATTGTGGTAGGCAGGCTTCTCATTGCAGTGGCTTCTCTTGTTGCAGACCACAGGCTCCAGGCACGCGGGCTTCAGTACTTGTGGCACACGGGCTTAGTTGCTCCGCGGCATGTGGGATCTTCCCGGACCAGGGATAGAACCCGTGTCCCCTGCACTGGCAGGCGGATTCTCAACCACTACACCACCAGGGAAGTCCAGTTGCTTTTGACAAAGATGCAAAGGCAATTCAGTGAAGGAAGGATAGTCTTTCTAACAAATGGTGTTGGAAAAGTTAGACATCCATAATATCCTAAATAAAGATCCCAACCTAAACCTCAAACTCTATAGAAAAATTAACTCAAAATGGATCATAGAGGGACTTCCCTGGTGGTCCAGTGGCTAAGACTCTGCACTCCCAATGCCAGGGGCCCAGGGTTCGATCCCTGGTCAGGGAACTAGATCCCACATGCCACAACTAAGAGTTCACATGCCACAACTAAAGATCCCGCATTGCCGCAATGAAGATCCCGCATGCAGCACTGAAGATCCCACTGAGACCCAGCACAGCCAAATAAATAAATAAATAAATATATTTTTTAAATGCATCATAGATCTGAATGTAAAATGTGAAAGTATAAAATGTTTATACGAAAACAAAGAAGAAAATCTGCATGACTTGGGTTAAACAAAGATTTCTTAGATGTGACACCAAAAGCACAATCAAAAAAAAAAAAGGTTGATAAATTAGACTTCATCAAAATTAAAACACTTCCTCTGTAAAATACAATGATTGTGGTGGTGGTTATATGCATCTATAAATGTGTTAAAACACCTAGAACTGTAAGTGGAAAAAGAAGTTAATTTTACTCTGTGTACATTTTTTAAATAATTTTTTAAAAATCATACCAAAGCAGATGGCAAGCCAGAAGAAATATTTACAACATACAGAAAATATTTGCAAACCGTGTAATAGTCAAAGAATTCGATAATATATTGAATATAAAGTGTTCCTACAAAAAAAAAAAAAGATTGTCAGATGGGATTCAAAAAATAATTTAT